TTGACCTCGCATCCCTACAAAGCCGGGACGGAGCACACCGGGTTCTCACCGGACCAGTCTCTCACGTCACCAAGCGCGAAGCGCCGTGAGATATTCGGTGAGTCGCATGAAGGGTGCGCTGCATCCTGCTACGGGTGTTCGGCATCTTGTGCTTACTTCCTTGCGTACGGCTGACAGCTGCGTATGACTTAATTTACTTTCTGGTACTTCACTTCCAGAGACAGTTGTAAGCACTGTGCAACTGCCTCGGGGGTGCTTGACCATGTTAACACAGCGTGGTGCGATCACACCCCTTGCGCGGAGCGAGGTTTCTCCACCCCGCAAAACATGATCTACTCGACCACCATAATGGTTTCCGCCAAAAAAAAAACGGAGGTAAAAAAAAGGTAACCTGGTTGCCGAGTTCACGAAGTGAATTGGCTTGCTTTACAACGTCGTTGCCAAGCGACGAATACCCAATCCCGACGGCAAACACCGACGGGGGGGTAGGGAGAAAAATAGTAGCAGTTGCTAGCAGCCGTCGGCAGGGGGTGGTCTTTGTTCTTGGCCCACCTGGGTCCAAGCTCCGGCAGCGCTGCATGCGCGCTCTCCCTCCTCTCCCCCCATGTGGCGCTCTCTGACTTGTTTTCTGCAATCATCTCGCTCGCAACAGATTTTTTTTTTCCTTTACTCCTGGTACTTGCCTAGCGCCTGGCGATGTATCTACCATATCACTGCTGTCGTAGCTTTTTTGTGATGTTTGCGGTCCCTCTGCTTGTTGCTTTTCAGGGCGGTGGTGAAAACGGTCGTGCCGGCCGTGTACCGGAAGGACAAGGCCGAGGGAACCTTCCGCTACGACCACGCCTGGCTCAGAACCCACTCGGAATCCGTGGTTTTCTGTGGCGTGGGGGCCGTGGAAGGGAGGGAGAGGGATCGATTGGGGGAGAGTTTCGATGTCGTCGTGGCCGCCTGGTGAGGATTACCATTGCCAGGAGTGGGGCCATAGTTTGGCGGAGCCATGTTAACGTGTATGGGTTTGCGGCCGGCTCTTTTTGCAGACCTTGCGCAATCATCAGAGACTGTTGTCGAAGAGGTTCCTTGTCCAACGTTCCAGTGATTCGATCGCTCCGCGATATTTTTCAACCGAGTATTAATGCATGTCCAATCACGCCTAAGAGCCAACCTCGACACCTCTACCAGGTGCGAATGCACTACCGCGACAACACAGCGGCATGCGCTGTTTGCCGCGGCCGAAAAGGACAATTGAGCTACCGCTGTGTGTGGTACGTCACAGGTACGCCTGACAGTAAAGCTGTGATTTTAAACAGCGGGCAAACTGTTCCCCTCAACACATTGCTCCCGCTGTCGCTTGAACGGGGTGTCACCACAGCTGCTGCTGTCCTGCAAACTAACGCCAGCTGAATCTCGCTGTTTGTTTGGCCGCTCCCGCTTGTGGCATCCGAACAATTGTCCGGCTCTTCCCTCGAATCGCCGACACAGGTGGGAGCTGATAAGGCGTCACGTCCCCCTCTACTTGTTTACACAGTTCTTCGACTACCTTGGCTCTATCGTCAACTACGCGGCTGTCGGCGGCGCTATCTTGTACTTGTCCAAGGCGGAGGGCATGGGGGAGGCGGAGATCGCTGCCCTTGTGGCTCGCGGCAGCTTTAGCTGCCTTTACCTTATCGACGCGTTTTCCAAGGTAAAGCAGTCAGTGCTGCTCTATCGTCAGGAGGCAGCGTACGTCCTCGTGTTTTCGACTATTTTGTAACGTTGGACAGCGTGCGCCCTCAAAACAGTACCTTTCCCTTCCCACATACAACGCCGGCCTCTTGTCGGGTTATTTCGGCGGGACGTCCTGTACCCCCCATCTTGTTAGTGGTTTGCCTTACATTGAGGACAATATCCGTGTCCTTGTTGGTTACTCACCGTGCACGATTATCCGGGCAACGGCTCCTAGTGGAGAAACATATCAAAAAACAAAACGAATATGGTCGGTTTTCGTTGGCCTTTTTTCTTGGCTATCTCCGGCTCCTCCTCCAAACAGGTGCTGCGCGCGTCGGAGGCAGCGAGCAGAATGGGCGGCAGCGCCAGGCGTGTAGCCGAGCTTCTCCGGGCAGCGGGCTTGTCAGATAGCGACGCCCGAGCGTTCGGTCCCTGGTCGACTGAACCACGCGTACGCCGTCCCTTCCGGAACAACGGCGGCGGCGGCGGCGGCGGCGGCGGCGGCGGCGGCGGAGCGGGCGGGGTCGGGCGCGGAGGTGGCGAGAGCTCCGAACGTCGACCGGGGGGTGGGGAGAGGCGGGCCCGGGGTGCGCGCGGCGGCGCTCGAAGCAGCAGCAACGCCTTGAGCGCGGTGGTCTGGAGCCGGCTCGGGTGGATACGATTTCTCGCCGCCGCGAAGAAGGAAGCCGACAAGGAGGACGACATGGAGGTGGGGCGAGGGTATAAGCGGGGACGCGACGCCCGTGATGCCGATGACGAAGAGTGCCCGCGGGAAGGCAACCATTCGGGGGGGGATTACACGCCGCCCGTTGTCGGCACCGGCGGCGGGGAGGCAGAGGAGCGGAGCCTTCTTGCCGTTGCCGGAGGCACGTCTTCGGGCGGACACCCTGCGGGGCGTTCCGCTAGCGAGGATGGCGTTTCCGTCGGTGATCATGAGTGTAGCAGTGGTTCCGGCTACGTTGCTTCCGCGTTGTCGCTGGTGGCGCTTTCCGACGAGGGGAGGGAAGGCGCAGCCGACGGAGGCGGCGGCGAGCGAGTGGGTGATGACCCCGACTGGCTGCTGAGGGTCGAAGGGTACACCGTGGCCCAACCGGAGCAGCAACTTGGTCTCGGCGACGATTGCAGCAGCGAGGAAGACGACGATAGCGGCGACGAAGCAAACGGCACCGACCCACGGGAAGAAGCTGTTGACGGGGATGCAAACGGTAGCGGCGGCGACAACACCAGGGGCGTCGGTGTAGACCGGGTGGTATCTCCTGAAGACGGCAAGGCCTTACCTTGTCCGGGAGAGGGCGGGGGTGGTCGCGGCAGACGGAGCAACAACCCCAGGACTGCATGTGGAACCCTCGCGGCGGGAGCCGAACAACATGGAAGCAGAGGCGCGGGAGCGATCGTCCGGGAGCTCAGTCTCACCGTGCGCCGCGGGTGCAACGTCTTGATCACGGGTCCGAGCGGATGCGGCAAGACCTCGCTCCTGAGGACCATCGCGGGCCTCTGGGAGGCAGCGGCGGGGACGGTCGAGCTCTGTCCCCGGGTGGAGGCGTGCCTGCGTGCGCACGAGGAGCGGGGAACCACCGGGCGAGGGAGGACGGTCGCAGGGGACCGTGAGGCTGGCGGGGGGGTCCTCTTCGTTCCGCAGCGGCCCTACTGCTTTCGAGGGACCCTGTTCGAGCAGGTCGGTCCCTTTCTTCTAGTCAGCCTCCTCTGTTTTGTTTTTTACGGTGTCGTGGCGGCATCGCCTTAGCTTCCGCTCGTTTGTGTGATCGGGGAGGGTCACACTGGCCGCGAGTTTGTTTCAGAAGTTTGGCGGTACGGAAAGCACACGGCAAACAAGCACGACTTCAACAGTGACGCACGTTGCCTTCGTAAGCGCGTCCCTCAAGTTTGCGCTAGTAGGGGCGATCCTCTCGTTTGCTCCTGTATCGTCACTTTTTTTTTTTTGTTCGATGGCGATGATGACCATCATGAACACCACAAAATAAATCTAGCCGAACTTGCTGTCTTCGCACGCCTCCCTATCGGGCCAGCAATTCCAATAATCCTTGTGTCCTCCGTTTCCCCACGCCCCGTCCCGAAAAAATGATCACCAAGGTTACGTATCCAGCTAGAGGAGACCAAGCTTCCCCCGCAACGGTCAAGCGCATTCTGTCAGCCCTGGGCCTGTCCCATCTGTCTAGCCTAGGCAATGGCGGCGGCGGCGGCGGAGGTGATGACGAGTGTACCGAGCAAACAAACGGCGGCTCCTCCGCCGGCAGCACTGGTCACGCCTTGGGCGCAAGCGGGAACGCATTTAGCGGGGACGCTCGCAGGTGTCCCAGCCCTAGTTGGACAGCCTCCGCCGCGTCACGCGCGGGAGCTGGCGCCTTCGGGAGTCCGCACGGCTTCGATGACCGTAGCAGCTCGAGGCAAGTCAGGAGGAATAGCAACAACAGCAGCAGCAGCAGCAGCAGCGAGGGTAGCATCAGCACCAAAGACGGCGTCGTTGTCTTTGACGACGAGGAATCGATCACCTCGCCACTCATTGGAGAAGAGCCAGAGACCGCAGAGACCGCCGGTTTCTCTTCCTCGTCTGCTGGTGGTGGCGACTTTCCGACCCCCTCGGAGGGTTCCAAGGAAAGAGGAGCCGGGACGAGATGGCTCTCGGACACCCGCCAATCGTCGCACCACCAGCAGCAACAGCAATCGCACGTCCGGGAGGCAGAAACGACAGGGCGCAGTGCAAGAAGCGGGGGGGCGGTCGGGAGAAAAAGAAAAAGAGGACTACCCCCAGCCCGACGGCGACGTAACTGGGCCTCCATCCTGTCCATCGGGGAGCAGCAGCGGCTTGGCATCGCCAGGGTGCTGTACCACCGCCCGGCCCTTGCTTTCCTAGACGAGGCGATGAGCGCCGTCACGGAGGAAGCGGAGAGAGACGCCTACCGCCTCATGCGAGCGGCCGGGGTGACGGTGGTGGCCATCGGCCACCGCACCTCTCTGCGCTCGCTCCACGAGCGGGTGCTGGCTCTCCGGGGCGCTCCGGACGGGAGGTGGGAGATCTCGGAGATGTGCTCCTCGAGGACGGAGACCCACGCCTCGGGGAGCGAACACGCAACGTTGTAGCGGTGTGCGCCCTGATACGTTTGACGATTCGGCACGTGGCGCTGTAGGATTAAGGGTACGTGCCACGCCTGCCTTCTGATGTGCGAGGAAGCTCGAGGAAAACGTGGGTATCGGTACCCCCCCGGGGCACGGAGAAGAACAAGTCCTGCCTGGCCGGTACGTCGTGTTTCGGATGGGCGAGTTATGCGACACGTGGGAGCGCGTGTCAAGCGTCTTCCGTTTCCTGTCCCTATTGGGGACAGGCTTCTAGCAAAGTATTAGGACAAGCTGGGAGACTTGCAAGGTTGTAGAGCCTCGACAGCTCTATTTACTATTCTTGTGGTTTCCGGCTTGCTCGTCATAGCATTGAAAGACGCGTTGGTTGTGTAATCAAGATTGTGTGTCGGGGTCAGCGATATAGGGGTATTCACCCTCACTCGTGGGTTGAGCAACAAGAGCTGTTTGTGTACGCACCCTCGTAGGGCTGGTGGCTAGTGGCATCTTATAAACCTCTCAGAGAAGCGAAAAAACAAGAAGGATCCAGAGCGGCGACCATGGAGAAGCCCTCTGCAATACCCTCCGACGCGCGTATCTATGACCCCGGAGTCGTCTGCCCCTACCCATGACTACGCCCGTGCCCTCGGCTCCAATTGTTCGCCAGGCCAGGCCGCCTCAGGTCATACCACGTGGGATTACTCCAGCCTCGGTACTTCTTCACACTGGTCACGCCCTCGCTAGACCTTTCCGCCCCGCTGTTGCGAAGATACCCCCTTCAAGCAGCAGCGTTTAACAGCGGCACTTGGACGCAGGGTCCACCTTGAAACTCGAACCCTCGCCAACGCTACGGTACAGTTAATTCCCGAGCTACTGGGGAACCACGGGTCAAGCTTGTCTTTCCTTTCCTAGCGCGCCACATCTATAACGAAAGCCGCTGCAAAAAAATGTCGTTCTTCTCCACACACAAAAGTCGAGCGTGCGATCATGTAGTCACGCGGGCGTGAAACGCACCCCGCCACCATACGGCACTCCCACACCGCCGCCGCTGCCGCCTCCTCCACCCCCCCCCGGCGCGAAACCGCTGCCCCCCAAAATATCTGCTAAGTTCGTTTGGCTATTGAAGGTGGAGCCGCCTCCGTTCCTAGCCATGCGCTGGGCCCCTCGGGCTGCGTCTAAAGCGGCCGCCGCCGACGAGGCCGGGCTGGCTCTAGCGCCCACCGATCGAGTCGCGAGGTTTTCGATGTGCTTCTCGACGGCTGCTAGGTTGTGCTCGTACGCCTGGAAGATGACGGTTAGGGGGACAACCATACAAACACACGTTGAAAAAATGAGGTCGAAGTTCACAACTACAAACACAACCTTCGCTGCTGAGGCGACGCCGTATGTGCAGAATCCCAACCTGCTGCTGCTGTGCTGGGGGGGGGGG